TAAAATTATGATCAGTGTTTCCTGGTTATAAATAAAACTCATTAGTAGAAAAAGCATTTGGGACCTTGAATCATTTTTTAAAAATCTCCCTTTGCTTCCTAATTATGACAGAGAATTTTCATATGAAAATGTGTTTCTTTTTAATTCTTAGGAAATAAACCCTCTACCTATGAAAGAAATCATTACTGAGGGCAACTTGATAGTATCTGATTTTATCTACTATACTTATCTCTGCCTTTTAATTGGTTTGTTCAGACAGTTTACAGTTCTGACTGTTGTTGATTGGCATCTTAGACATTGTTTGCTATTTTCTTGTTTGCTTTCTCCATTCCTTCTTCCTCTTTTGTTTTTTCTTGCCTTCTTTTTGGTTACATGAACATATCTTTTAGGATTCCAGCATTATTTCTCTTTCATCCATTTAATATATTTCTTTGTATTATTTTCTTAGCTGTTCTGAGTACTAAAATGCACATGTGACCTCTTAATGTCAGCTGGTTTTAACGTTGTTCCAGTTTGAGTATAGAAACATCACTTCCACTTAAAGCACCTTTACTTTCCCCAAATTTATATATCATTTGGTTATCAGGAGGGACATGGAGTTCTGTTGAAGCATAAAAGTCATCAAATGGAAATTTTAAATTCATGAGGAGAAAACTAATTTTTTATAAATATATTTTTATGATTCTTGTATTCATATTTCCTGAAGCTTCCCAAGCATAATTTTTATTATTCCTTTCTTTTTGAAAAATTCCCATTATCTAAGCTCTCATGGTATGTTTACCATCAACATGGTAGTTTCCTCTTACATAGAGAATGCTGTTGCTTCACCTTCTTTCCTGAAAGGTAGCTTCATTGGGTGTTAGAATTTGCATTTGACAGTTATCTTTCAGCACTTAAAAATATGGCTTAAGATAGCTTTCACAGTTTCAGATAAAAATCCTACTGTCACCTGTGTCATTGTTGCTGCATAGCTGGTGTCACTCCTTTGAGACTATTTTCAAACTTTTCTCTTTGGTTGCAGATGTTTCATTACATTAAATGTACATTGGTACATTGGTGTATATTTCTTTGAACTTCTGTATGTGATTTGGTCATCATCTTCAAGCCTTTTTTTTTGCTAAATTTGTGAAATTTTCAATGATTATTTGAATACTTCTGATGCATTTTTCTTTCTTTTCTTGTGACTGATAATTTAATGTTTGATCTTTATTTTAGTTACACAGTTCTCCAAGTTGTTTTCTTATTATGTTTTTAGTCTATTTTTCCTGCTATTCAAACTGAAGACATTCTATTGTTCTGTTGTCAAGTTATCTCTTCTTGTCATCCAATGGGTTTTTTTTTCATTTCTTTTTCTTATTTTTATAATTTCCATTTAGCTCTTTATGAAAAATAAATTGTTTGAGATAGGTATGATGGCTTGCAGCTGTAATAGCAGTATGCTGAAAGTAGAAGCAGGATGACACCAGACTTGAAGCCAGCCTGGGCTACATAGTGAGCTATAATACAAACTATATACTATTTTTTTTTACTATATATATATTTTTTGGTCTTTTTGGGAGAGGGTCTCCCTGTAGCCCCAGCTTGCCTCGAACTCGCTATGTACACAAGACTGGCCTCGAACTCACAGAGATCCACCTGCCTCTGCCTCCCAAGTACTGGGATTAAAGTCATGTGCCATCACGCCTGGCACTATATACTATTTTTCAAAATCCAAAAATGAAAACAAAAAGTGTGTTTCTTTGTTGAGATGTTTTAATTTTCCTCTTATTTCAGGATAATTTGCTATTGCTTGGTGGGGCAGTTTTATGGATGCTTTAAAATCCCTGTTAAATAATTCCAGTATTTGATTTGTATTAACTGGTGGTGTCAGTTGGTGGTCTTTTGTTCGTTTATGTCGTGATTGTCTTGATTCTCATTATCATGGGTGTTTTGTTGTGTCTTTGACATTTTGGCAATTATAGCAGGAGACACAGAGTCCTACTGAAATATTTCATTTCAGTGGACCATAATTTAGATTAACATATATGTTCCAGACTACTTTGTGGATGACACTTTGAAAGGCAATTTATTTCTCTGGGTCTTCGGTGCAATATTTGATCTGGTTATTTCTTTGATATTGCTGGGGATCCCACTTTTCTTTGCTGGGTTGCCTGAGGTTTGGAAGAATGTTTCCTGAACAATATCTGTATTCATTTACAGTGAAGTAATGCAGTCAATGCAATATGGAAAAGAATGCTTCCGAAGCTATAGTGTTTGTAAGATACTGCCCCAGCCCCTCAACTCTTCATGGTAGTCTCCGTCCCATAAGATAAAGAGGCTGGCTACTTGTGCCAGTGTCCCTCTTGCCTGTGACTCATAAAACAGAGTATCTCTGCTTGTGGATATCGAGTGTCAGACTCATAGGGAAGAGGTTTTCTGGATTAACCAATTGTTCGGACACAATCGTTTCTGCCTAAATGTTGCTCATTTTTGAAAGGGGAATGGTAATGCAGCCTTAGAAAGTTTTAAGGAGAGTACACAAGTATGGAAGTCAATGAATGTAGGAATTTTTCTCTGATTCTCTCAGTTGTTTAGTCATGATACCCAGGATAAAATCATATTATGTAATAGTTGCTTAGTAAGTCTTATCTGAATCAGTAAAATCAAGGAAACTGCTAAACAGTCAGTTCATTATTTTGTTACCTATAAATGATGGCTATTTTACATCATTCCCATCTGTAGTGAGTTAATTATGACTCCTCACACTCAGTTCTGATTCCAATGCCCTATATATTATTTAAAAATGGATAACAACACCTAATGTTCCTTGTACACTGAGAACTTACTATGTTCTAGACATAATTCTAAGCAACACACACATTCATATACAAGTACAATTTGTAGGCTGCGTCCTCATAAAGGCTATGACATGTTATATTACCAGTCTGTGTTCTAAAATAGCATGCTGAAAATCTTTTTTCAGTTTGTTTAGTAAGCAAGAAATCATATTTCAGGACAGCGTCATATTTCATTTTCTTCGTTGTGAGTCTTTTACTGGTCAAAAACTATTTATGTTGTTTTTATGTGAATTGTATATTTACTTCCTATAAGGTTTTTGTTTATAAATTGTTACCAGTTGTATATATAAGGGCTATAAAAATTTAGCCTGTGATATAAGATATATGTATCTTCTCAGTTTGTTTTATAATTTTGCTTCCAAATCTTTTGGCCAAAAGTTATTTGAATTCGTATGTGATTCTATTTTTACCTACCTTATAGATTCTGGATATTTGAGTTATAATTAAGGAAGATTTCCCCATTCCTAGGTTATAGAGAAAGTCAACTACATTTTCTTCCAGTACTTGTGAGTTTTCACTTTTACAGCTTAAATATCTGGTCTATTTAGAATTTATTTTTCATCATAATCTGAGGATCAAATTATATTTTACTAGCTTTCACATAGGTGTCCAAGTATTCGATAAAATGCCATTTAAAAGATTAGTTCTCCCCTATTTATTTGAAATGATTTCTTGGTTCATTTGGTCACTTCATGCAATTTTGAAAACCTTATGAGTTAAGTAGCATTATCTTTTATTTGATTGGAAAGAAAATTATGGGTCTGTGCCTTTCCTGAAGTCACATGGAATAATCGCACAGAAGGAAGTTAAAACTAGGTCTTCCTGACCTTGGATCAGGGCTTTTCATCAAAACACTATATTTCTATTACGTGGAGCCTCAGCCCATGCTGTGAAGCAGATGTGATATCTGTCACCTACTACACAAATGGTCTCAGAGCCTCCAGAATCCCTTTGCATTACTAAGAAATACTGATTATGAGGAAAATGACTTGAACTAATATCAAACCTCTGGTATGCAATGGAGTTGGGTTTTGGTAGATGGCTTCATTGAAAGTAGGGCTATGAGGCATTGAGTAAGCCCAGAGTAGCCAAATAAGTGTACAGGTTGGCAGGGTGTGTTACATACTGCTTAAAGATCATTTTTGCCAACCCCTGGGAAAGTATGACTTATCTATCATAAACTGACATTTGATATTATTGTACACTAAAGGATTATTTCTGGTTCTAATTCCGATGATCATTGGGTATTAGGAAGATTTTTCTCATTCAGAGACCTAGGTTCATGAAGGCATTGTCTTTATTCTATCTGCTTTGCTGAATAATTGATCAAATACGATACTATTTATCCATTTAAACTTATTTTTAAAAAATGGACCTGAATGTGGTAGCATACAGCTGTGTTAATACCATCTGAAGCAAAAGTCAGATAAATTTCTTATCTCTCCTTTATCTCACTGATATTAAAATACTATTTTACTATGACTGGGAGTAAGAAGTAATTTTTCATCACAATCCAATGAATGCAAAGATTTTATCATTAAAAATCTTAATAAATAAGACAGGTGACAACTATACCTTTTTGTCAGCTGTGTGCAGTCCCCCAGCTTCTGGTACACTGGAGAGTTGTGGTTTCTTATACACTTTGTGGTTAACAGTGATCAGTTGATACGTGTGGCCTATGAATTATCATGAATGTGAAGTACATTATTTCTTGGGGAAAAATTTGAGATCCCCTGGAGATCTCAAAATGTTCTCTTTTTTCTGATGCTCCGGTCATGGCAGCACAAAGATGAAGGCTCTCTTATCTGGGGTGCATCATTGAGGCTTATGTAGAGCAAATCCCCCAGGAAATCTCTACCAGGAAAATCGTGTGAGTGAGAAATAATCTTTTGTTTCAAAATAACTGAAATTGTAGAGCTGCTTTTTGCCATAGTATATTCTCATTTATTCTGCCTGATACATTTGACTTTATTTTATGTAATGTCAATATTCTCTTTAGTTGTTTCAATTTTCAGTGTTGGCTACAACCTAGTAAGATGAAATTATGACCCAATATTGAGGTTACAACTTACAATTTGAAAAAAATATTGCTCTATAAAATATTCATGTGACCCATAGCTGATCCTCTCTCTAAACTCCCAGGAATACCTTCTCTCTTTGCAGGACTGTGGTTATGGAGAAGGGGGAGATGCATACTGCACAGCCTGCCCTCCCCGAAGGTATAAAAGCAGCTGGGGCCACCATAGATGTCAGACTTGCATCACCTGTGCTGTCATCAATCGAATCCAGAAGACCAACTGCACAGCTACCTCTAACGCTATCTGTGGGGACTGTCTGCCAAGGTGAGCCCACTGAATGGTACCAGCCCTTCTGGACCTTTTTGTAAGCTCTTTGATAGCTTCTATCTTCCTTACCACTTAAAACCTAGTGAAAATACTCTAACTACCCACATCATACGCTACTTAAGTTCAGTGAATGACAAGTACTGTCTCCCTAACTAGATCTCTCTGTAAATTGTCCACCACATTATCAAACACAGATAAGCACTTCAAAGCTTTAATTGTTATTCTGGCATTCAGCCCAATATTTCAAATAAATGTCATTGTAGATTACAAAGAAATCATGAAGAAATTGGTATCATACAAGTCTTCCCTGTCTCATGTCATTAGCTCCCTTTTTGGCTGTACGGTGTGATGAATGAGGGAAAGGGTGGAATGCCTGGGCTTCTGAGTCAGAATAACACGTGAAGGCAGAGAACTCATGAGGGTATATGATGCTTTTGATGAGAGTAAGAATCTTAGAATCTCTGTTCTCAGAAAAGACTGTTACAAGTGTGTTCTATCACTCTGCATTCCCTTTTCCTCTGACCTCAGGTTCTACCGAAAGACACGCATTGGAGGCCTGCAGGACCAGGAGTGCATCCCATGCACAAAGCAGACTCCTACTTCTGAGGTTCAGTGTGTGTATCTACTTTTCTCTCCCTTCCTCCCCGAAACCAGTGGGTGTCAGGAGAATAGATTATTAAAGACTTATTTACTACTGGAAAAGGAAAATATTTACTGTTCTTTTTGGGTATTGCTGCTGCAAGGGAATGACCTGTGTTTAAATCCTGATTTTCCAGCATTCAGATTCATTGGATTTCATTCCTTCTGTCTTAAAAAAATGTGTCTGGAGAAAAATACTCTTCTTCATACCTTATGAGTTAGTTGCTAGGTTCAATAAAGCAATGAATGTTACAAAAGAAATTTAAAACTTATAAAATTTCTACTTTTATGGATTGCTGTTTATCATCACTATGTACAGAATATGGGAGTCCCTAGGACTTTGAACTCATCAGAAGCTTTGAAACCAGGGTTCTATGTTTCTGTTCTATATCTATATTTCTAAATATTTATGTTTCACTGTCTTTCTATGATTTTTGTCTATCTTCTCACATATTCTTTTTAAATTATTGGTATATTTCTTGAAATCATGAAATATTTAAAAGAGAAAAATTTTAAATGCAGAGAAATGTAACAGTTAAAATGCTAAATTAGCCAAGATCCCTAGATAATAAATCTTAACATTTTCCACATTTGCTTCAGGGCTTTTTTTTATGAACAAAGATTCTAAAGGTATAATAAAATTATATTTTAGTTCCTCTGTGAATCCTATATTTTTTACTTATCTAGATACAATCACTTTCCTAAAATTTTATGTGGATTTTGGTTGGCTATACTATAGTAATAAATATGCAGCAAAATTTTTTTTTCACATGGCAAAGGCTGTTAGGCCAGTCTGGAAGTGGCATACATTATTTCCACTCAGAGTACACTGGCCAAAAGTATGCTGGTGATTTTACTACAAAGATGTAAAGAGAACACAGGGGCGCATGTGAATAATTCCTGAGCATATTCCTTTGCCATAGTCTGCACTTATGTTTTAATACTTGTATTCCTTCATCATATAGTCATATACTTAGAAATATGTGCTATTATTTTGTATTTTACAATGCCTTCTATAAAGGTGATGAAGTTATCCCTTATTCACTTTGTTTTTCTCCTCTATTAATAATGAAATGTTTTTTTATGGTATCTTGGGGGTAAATAATGGTTTACTGATTTTATGATTACTGATGAACATTTTAATTTAGTTCCATTTTCTAGGTTATTTTCCCAGACAGGGCATAGAAAGAGCACACGATATGGGCATATTTAATTAATTATAGTAATTTATGCCATACCTGCAGTATTTGTGTTCTGTTTTTTTCATTGTCATTTTGCCTATCCTAGAAATGAGAAAATAGCTGCTCTAATAGGGGATGATCAGAAGGCAGTATAAGCACCCTGACAGAATGATTGTTCACTATCCCCACTGATTGAAACCACCCCTCCACTTATGTTGTTTCATAGGTGCCTTCCAGTTGAGCTTAGTGAAGATAGATGCACATGCAGTGCCCCCTCGGGAGGCCACACTTGTTGCACTGGTGAGCAGCCTTCTAGTGGTGTTTACCCTGGCCTTCCTTGGACTCTTCTTCCTCTACTGCAAGCAGATCTTCAACAGATATTGTCAACGGGGTAAGGGTGGCTGCTTCATGTTTCACATGAATTAGAAGTAGAAGACATTACGGTAAAAGACAGAAAGTTAATGAACTTGCAAATTAATTGGCCTTCTTACCAGGTTGAAAAATTCTAAGAGTAATATTCTGTTGGCCTGTGATAAGGCCAGCTATCTCAGATGGCAGTAAAAAGCATGGGACATCAGAGCTACTGAAGTCTACCTTGATAGTTTAGTAGACATGGTTTATTAGGTTTCAAGGATTCATGGAGAACATGGCATGCAGTGATGGAAAATATCTTGGTAATGGAACCTTGAGAAGTAAAGTTCAACTCTTTCTAAATCATGCTATAACATACACAAAATCATCTAGACTCTTTGGCCTTCTTTATTTCTGATCTTCAAAATGAAAGAATTAGATTAATTGTTTAAGCTACTTCTCTATTATGCATACCTATACTAAGAGGCATATAATCTGAAACATCAGAATGTAAGATTTCTCTGTATCTGAAATATGACTAATAAAAGTGCATGGTAAGGTCTACAGGAACTAGAAGCACTGTGTTTATCAACAGTTTTAAACTTTTTACCCTAAACAGTATTGATGCCCTAATGGATCTGGCTTAACCAATAGCAGATGGCTGTGTAAATCAAGATAAAAATGACCTGTCTAATGTCTCAATAATGCTTTGATTTGTTTACAACATAACTTCATCTTTCGATCGGCCTTGTGAGACAGAAAGTATGGAGGGAAATATGGAGGAGGTTGGATGATGGTTGATCAGTATCAGCAAAGGCATTTGAACTCCTGCCATGGATACCAATGTTCAATGGAGTTTAAGTGTGATTAAGGGAACAGAGAGTTAAATATGGACAACAGAAAAGTTGCTCAGACTGATGAATGAAGTAGTGTTTATAAGGAGAGGCTATATTTTACTAGGTACAAGGATGCTCAGGATTTCTTAACTCAGTGGATACTTGTCCTGAGGCAACATGCGTTATCTTAACCTCACTCTATTTGTATGGGAAAATTCCTCTTAAATAGAGCTTGCATGGTCAGTCTGTCTCTGGAGCCTACCAGTGATTTATTTGAGTCTACCCCTGGTTTAAGCAGAAATGAATCCAGCATTTCTTGAGCTATATTTCCACATTGTTTTGTTTGTTAATTGAATTTTTGTGAATTTCATACAACATATGAAATTAAAAAAAAATTTCACTGAACTTTTCTACATTTCATACAACCGTTCTTAGTCAAATTTAGATCTCCCCTCCCCATCCATGCTCCCCCACCCTTCCTCATCAGACCTCATATATTCTGCCATACCTCAAGTCCTATCCAGTCAAGCATTTGTACCCAGATGTCCTTTGGTGCAAATTCATCCACTGGAGTCTAGTCAGTCCATCTAGAGATCATAAGTAAGGCCTACTCTCCCTACCCCAGTAGTACTCAATCTGAAGTAGTTCCCAGACTAGTTAGGGCCAACCTACCACAGATTTCCCTCACTCCACTATGGGCCCTTGTCTGATTGAGTGGGCATGGGTCCTGTGCTCGATGCCACTATTACAAGTTCACATGTGCAAGCTTCCAGTGACCTGATGCTGCTGCTTTCTTATGTGCATGGACCAACCCTGGCTCTTACCATCTTTCTGTCTACTCTTTGGCAATGGTCCCTGAGCTGTGGGTGAGTAAGGTTCAATATAGGAGTCCTATCCAGGGATACACACTCTGCAGTCTCTTATTCTTACAAGTTGGCCAGTTGTGGCCTTCTGTGTGCACCACACTCTGTTGTATAAGGAATATTCACTGGTGAGAGATGAGGTTTGCACCAGTTTTCTCTTTGCTCCCTGTTCTACTATATTCCATGAGTCTTAGGTATAGAGGTTTATCTGTAGATATGTCACCTAGGACTGGGCATTTCTCGGACGTATATTCTCTGTGACTGACCAGTTGTGGGATTCTGCAGTAGCCGCCATCTGTTGCAAAATGAAGCTTCTTTGATGAATGGTGGATGGTATACTTGTCCCCCAGATAACAGTCCAACTACTGCACTAATAGAGATAATTTGATCTGCTGGTCATTATGATTATTAGGCTTTAGGGCTAGGTTGGACCACTGATTCTTTTTCTCCATTGGCACTTTGCATATCACCATCTAGCATTATGGTAGCCAAAGTTTGGGTAGAAGGCTTCCGGGTCAGTTCTTGCTCCATTGCTCCAAGTCCTGCATGCAAAGTATGTCTTGTCTTCAGCAGTAGGGTCTTACTTTCCAATTTTGGGAGATAACCAAGAGCTCTGGCAATAGCCTCTGTTATTTTGGGAGACTCTTGGACCACTCAAAGGGAGGTCTCTTCTATCTGTTACTGTGTTCCTTGCCATACAGCCCCCAGATGCACATATGCACTAATGTTCAGAGACCAAATGTGCATTTCTCAGGGGGTTTCAGAGGCAACACATTTCCCTCTGGCTTTCCCAGCCCTCCAAGATCCATTCATCTCTACTCTTTCTCCCCCATCCAACCTCTCTCCTCTTTCCCCGGTTCAAGCATCCCCATTATGCTCTCCCTCCCCCCAATAACACCCACCTCCCATCATCCCCCTTCTGAGTTCTCATCTCCCTCACCATGGCCCCCTGCATATCCCTCCCTCCTCCTCTTCCAACTGTACATTCCCACTTTCCCCACCTCCCTCCTGGTAACATCTGTTCCTTACTATACCTCTCTTTTCAGTTCTTTATTTTCCTTTACCTCTTTGTTTCCTTTCCATTTTCCTGGCTCCTGTTGTTATATCAGGATATATACTCACATATAAGGGATTGGTGCTATGATATGAAAATGAGGGAGAACATACTTGGTTTTCTGCGTTTGTGTTATTTCACTAAGTATAACATTCTCTAGTTCCATCTATTTACCTGAAAATTTCATCTTTTCTAACTGCTGAATAGAACTCCATTGAGTAGATGTACCACATTTTCATTTTTGTCAGTTGAGGGACATTTAGGTTGTTATCATTTCTCAGCTATTGTGAAGAAAGCAGCAACAAACAGATACACAGTTGTCTCTACAGTATGATGAGTCCTTTCAGTATATGCCAAGGAGTGGTATAATCAGATCATATGGTAGATTCATTTTCTCCACACTGCTTTCCATAATGGATGCACAAGTTTGCATCCTCGCCAGCATTTGGTGTTTTTTGTTCTCCTGATCTTAGCCAGTCTGACTTGGGTAAGATGAAATCTTAATATGGTTTGTATCTGCATGCCTCTAATTGCAAAGGACATTGAGTGTTTTTAAGGTGTTTCTCAACCATTTTTATTTCTTTGTTGAGAACTCTCCATTCAGGTCTATAACCCATCTTTTATTGGCTCATTTATTTTCTTGTTTCTTGGTTGTTGAATTCTTTGTATATTCTGAACATTAATCCTCTGTCAGGTATGTAGCTGGTAAAGATTTTCTCCCACTCAGTGGGTTTCCTCGTCACTTCCTTGGTCATTTTTTTTTCTCTATACAGAAGCTTTGTAGCTTAATGAGGTCCCACTTACTCATTGTTGACTTTAGCACCTGAGCAGCTGGTGTCCAATTTAGAAAGTCCTTTCCCACAACTGTATCTTGGAGAGTGCTGCCTATGTTTTCTTCTAGTAGTTTCCGAGTCTCAGGTTTTATATTGAGGTCTTTGATACATTTGGAGTTGACTTTTGTGCAGGGTGAGAGATAAGGGTCCAAATTCATTCTTCCACAGGCCAAAATCCAGTTTTTCCAATACCATTTTTAGAGATACTGTCTTTCCTCCATTGTGTGTTATTGGCAGCTTTGTCAAATATAAGGTGGCTGAAATTGCATGTAATCATGTTTAGGTCTCCTACTGTGTTCCATTGATCTACATGTCTATTTTTTTCTGCCAGTACCATGCTGTTTCAAAGACTGTAGCTCTGTGATATAATCTGAGATCTGGTGTGGCAATCCCAATGTTGTTCTTTTTTTGCCCAAAGTTGCTTCAGCTATCCGGGGTCTTTTGTGATTCCATATGAATTTTAGGATGATTTTTTTTCTAGTTTTGTGCAGTATGTTGTGGTTATTTTGATTGACATTGTGTTGAGTCTCCAGATTGCTTTTAGCAAGACGGTCATTTTCACAATATTAATTCTACCAATCCATGAGCAAGGTAGGTCTTTCCATCTACAAGTATATTCTTCTATCCTCTTCTTTAAAGGTTTAAAATTTTCATTGTAGAAATCTTTAATGTCTTTGGTTAGGTTTATTCCTAAATATTTTATTTTTTGAGGTTATTGTAAATGGAAGGGTTTCCTTGAATGCTTTTTCTGATTGGTATATTAGAAAGAATACTGATTTTTATAAGTTGATTTTGTATCATGCCACTTTCCTGAAAGTATGAATCATTTCTAACAGTTTTCTCATGGAACTTTTGGGATCTCTTATGTATAATATCATATCATCTTCAAATAGCGATAGTTTGACCTCTTTTTTCCAATTAGTACTCATTTAATTTCCTTCTCCTGTCCTATTGCTTTTGCAAGAATTTCAAGCACAATATTGAAAAGGAGTGAAGACAGTGGACAGCCCTGTCTGGTTCCTGAATTTAATGAGAATGCTTCCAGCTTTTCTCCATTTAGAATAATGTTGGCTATGGGTTTGTTGTATATAGCTTTAATTCTGTTGAGGTATGTTCCCTCCAGACCAATTCCTCCTAAGACTTTTAAAATGAATGCATGCTGAATTTTGTAAAAGGTCTTTTGCACATCTATTGAGATGACTGTGTGATTTTTGTCTTTAAGTCCATTTATATGTTTTGTTACATTTATTGACTTAAGTATATTGAACTATTCCTGCATCTTTGGAATGAAGCCGACTTGATTGTGGTGGATGATCTTTTTGATGTGTCTGAATGAGGTTCGTGAGTATTTTGTTGAATATCTTTACATCTATTTTCATTAAGGATATGGGCCTATAGTTTTCTTTTTGTTGTGTCTTTACCTGGTTTTTGTAATAGAGTGATACTGGCTTCATAGAATGAGTTTAGGACATCTCCCTTTGTTTCTGTCTTTTTGAAGAACTTAAGCAGTGTTGGTTGTAGATTGTCTCTGAATGTCTGGTAGAATTTTGCTCTGAATCCATCTGGGTCTGGGCTTTTTTGAGTTGGGAGATTTTGTATTACTGTTTCAATTACCTTGTTTTAATGGGTCTGTCTAAACTGTTGATCTCTTCTTGATTTAAGTTTGTTGGTATCCATGACTTTAGAAAATCACCCTTTTCTATTAGACTTTTGAATTTAATGGAGTATATATTTTTAAAGTATTCCCTTAAAATATTCTGGATTTTTGGGGGGTTCGTTATGATGGTTCCCCTTTCTTCTCTCGTTTTGTTAATTTGGATTTTCTCTTTGTTTCTTTCTTTAGTTAACTGGACTAAGGATCTGTCTGGTTTGTTTAACTTTGCAAAGCTTTTTGATTTTTTTTGTATTGTTTTCTTTATTTCTGTTTCATTAATTTCTGCTCTGATTTTTGTTATTTCTTCTCATCCACTAGGTTTGGGGCTGGTTTGTTCTTGCCTTTCTAGAGTTTTGAGTTATACTGTTAAGTCATTTGCATGTGCTCTTTCTGATTTTTTTTAAAATGTAGGCACTAAGAGCTGTAAATGACCCTCTTAGGAATGCTTTTAAAGTTTCTCAGAGATTTTCTTTTGGTGTATTTCATTTTCATTTAATTCCAGGAATACTTTTATTTCTTTCTTAATTTCTTCTTTGACCCACTCATGATTTTGGGAGTGTGATGTTTAATTTCCATGAATTCAAGTAGTTACTAGAGCTTCTTTTGCTGTTGATTATAAGCTTTATTGCACTTTGGTCTGATAGAATGCATGGAATTATTACAATTGTTTTATATTTGTTGAGTTTTGTTTTGTGTCCCAGATGTGGTCAATTTTAGAAAAACTTGCATGAGCTGCTGAGTAGAAAGGAAATTCTTTGGTGATTAGGTGGAATATTCTGTAGATGCCTGTTAGGTCCATTTCACATAAGGTATCATTTAATTCAGCTGCCTCTCTGTTTATTCATTCTCTGGTTGACCTACCTTTTGAAGGTACTGAGGTATTGAAGCCACCCTCTGTTACTGAGTTGGGATTAATCTGTCTTTTATAGTTCTGGGAGCATGAGGGAAGGCAGTTTTCTCACGATCTCCATATGGGGAAGCTATGTTCCAGGACTTGCTGACTTACATACATACTAGGACTTTGTATGGGAGGTGAACGTGTGAATTGAATCTGATATAGATGTAAGAAAAAGGCTTAGGGATTATGGCATACTAGAGAGATCATCTATGTAAAGAATAATAGTAGGTAGTACTCAGTTCTACCTCTGTGTTGCCTAGAAAATGGAACTAAAGTGTTCACCATTAAGCATTGATTAAATAAATCATGATTTAACCCTAAGAGTTGTGTGGCCCCATCTGATAATCCAGGATAATCTTCCTAGTTTAACATCCATTACCTTAATTCTGACTGCAAGGGTCCTTTTTGAGATAATATAATTTATAATATAATATAATGTTATAGAAGGAAGGGATATGTTAAAATCTCTATTCCACCATGCATTTATCTTTATCTGAAGTAATTATTCTTCCCTAACCCAGCACCCTGCAGCCTCAATGTGATAACTGAATGAAAGTAGGTTTCTCAAATGTGTTTCTTTAGCCTTGCTCACTTTGGCCTGGTCCCCTTCAGGAGGGAAAGAGGAACACCAGCTTCCAAACTTCTTCCCTTTTTTGTGCTCAGGACCAGGTGCTCTGTTGAGAAGAGACCCTAACTTTGGGTAACCCAGTGACTTTCTGTTTCGTGTTACAGGAAGTTCGTTGCAGTATGAAGTTGATAAGGTAGTGGAGGAGGATTCTCTTTTCCCGATGCCACCTGGCCAGGAAACCAGTCTTGAATTTCCAGTGAGTGAGATTGTCTTTGATACACAGCCACTTAATTGCATTCTGGATGACGACTGCAGCTCCACTCGTGGCTTTCCCACCCAGGAGTCCTTTACCATGGCCTCCTGTGCTTCAGAGAGCCCCTCCCAGTGGGTTCATAGCCCCATCGAATGCACAGAGCTGGACCTACAAAAGTTTTCCAGCTCTGCCTCTAGTACTGGAGTGGAAAGCTTGAGGAGTGACACAGCTGAAAACTCTGAAGACAAGCTGGAGTTCAGTGTGCCTTTTGAAGTGCCCAGCCCTTAACTTTATTTTTTATTTTTTGAGGTAAGCTGGGGAGCTGGGATTAAGAAATCAGAAATTAAGGGCCACCCTCAAGAAATTTCCATTTCTCATACTATTGTTCAGTAGGACTTTGGGTGGAAAAACAGCAGCAGGCTGGGACTGTTGATGGGTAGAGAGGCAACTGTGACACTACGCATTTCAGCCTAGTTAGATATTGGACTTCTGGGTGGACAGTTGTCTGGGAACTAGCCAGGTTGCTGGGATAGTAGTCTCTCTATTCTGTCTTTATGTAAACTCTCTCTACTGAGTACTAGCCATTCTCACTTTTTTTTCTCCTTTACACAAGCATCATAGTACTGTAGAAAAAATATGCATGCCTTGTTACCGGGCAGTTCTTTATTCCAAATAAACCTCAATTCCTGAATAGTTATATGAGCCTGTGTAAATCACTTTACCACTTTCAAACTTAGATCATGGAAAATATTCTCCTCCTCACAAGTTATTGTGAGTATTGAATGAAAAACATATATGCAAGTTCCTTTTACAATGTTTGATGCATTACTGGTGTTTTCTTGGCATTTCATTCTTAACATTTCTTCTCCTGCCACTAGTCACAAATTACAAATTCTTATATCCACTTCATTTATTTGAGCTTCATAACTTCATGCCTTCATGGTAAGCAAATCAGCAATGTGTTAAGCTCATTTTAAAGGGGCAGGAACAGAGACAGGATGATTTGCTTAAAGTTACAGAGCAATCTAATGTCAGAACTAGCCTAAAATCTAGGACCAGAAGTTCCATTATACAGCTCGTCCACTCGTGTTTGTTCCATGTATACCTTGTACACATAGCGTGAACGAAATTTCATATGCTATTTTTAGTAAGAGCTGTCATATGGGATCGTGTATAAAAATTTTCAGTTACGGTGTTATGGCCAAAGGATACAAAATTTTGGGACTGGGAGATAGCTCAACAGTTAAGAGCACTGGATGTTCTTTCAGAGGACCCGGGTTCGATTTGCAGCACCCATGTGATAGCTATCCACCATCTGTAACTCCAGTTCCAGGGGACCTGACACCCTCTTCGTACCTTTACACGACATGAGTGCACTTACATACATGCAGGCAATACACTCATACACAGAAAATAAAAATAAATAAAATATTTTAACAGGTATAAAATTTTGAGCATTTGGGGTTTTGGATCTTTGATTTATTGATTAGTGATGCCCAAACTATTTCTCCATCAAGAGTTTGTGTGTTCCTTGTTCACATATTACAGTGGAAGAGAGCTCACTGCTGCCCAATGTGTAGTACAACTATGACTAAAAATTTTGAGCTCAATATAAAGAAAAAATTGTCTCCTATACCCATTTCTGGATCCTGGCTCTGTTCCTTGGGCCACACAGGCCTCATCTGATGTATCTGCCCTTTGATAACCCTGTGGAGACCTGAAGATAGCATCTTCCTTTTTGAAGGTACCACTTAGGTTTGTGGAATTTATAACTTACCCCAATTTCATGAAAAATAGCCTCATCAGTTTAGAATAGGATAAAATTTTCATCACCATAGCTAGGTGATGTATTTCTACTACTATATCCTAAACCTCTGATGTTACCATGAGTCTATCTATCTATCTATCTATCTATCTATCATCTATCTATCATCTATCTATCTATCATCTTATATCTATTTATCATCTATCTATCTATCTTATATCTATCATCTATCCATCTATCATCTATCTATCTATCTATCTATCTATCATCTATCTATATGTATGTATGTATGTATATTTGTATGTATGTATGTATCTATCATTTATCTATCTATCTATCTACCATCTATCTATCTATCATCTGTCATCTATCTATCTATCTGTCATCTATCTATCATCTATCTATCTATCATCTAATCTGCTTATTTATATTGAGACAGGGTATCACTGTGGTGACTTGACTGAACTGGAACTCATTATGTATACCAGGCTGATTTGAACTAACATAGCTCTACTTCCCTGTCTCCCTAAAGCTGAGGTTAAAAGCGTGCACCACCATACCCAGCATAAGCACCATTTCAGAAGAAAAGAACGTGGAGGGTGGTACTGAGATTGCATCACAGGTTTCTTATGTGCTCTTCTCCATTTCTAGGAATGTTTAACTCCTGGCAGCCCTGCCCAGTGACTGTTGCTGTACTCTCCTGCCCTGCTCTATTCAGCAACGATAATGTGGGCCTGGGACATATGTCCCTCAACAGCCAGTGAAATGGGGTATATAATGCCCCATTCTACCAGAGGATTGGTTCTCCATTTCTCCAAGACTGGCCTGGAACATTTATTGTTTTTCTCTTCTATCCTGGGGAGCCAGATTCCCTAGCTATGGGACTGCTGGGTATGTTCCTTATCTGAAATGATAATTAATGAGGTTGGGTTTTTCTGGCTGCACTTTTTAGTCAGGTTTGCCTGATCAGGCAACATAGAGAACAGTATTGGCATCTACCTAGCACGTAGAGGTAAAAATGAAGCTCTTCCCCTTTTAGTTCTTCTGCATTGAGTCCTTGCAGCACGCGTGCCCACACAAACACACACACACACACACACACACACACACACACACACACACACACTTACACATGAAGCCTTGATCTGTAACTCATGCTCTAGACTTTAATAATTCTTATAGCTCTGAAGCCTGTGTATTTGTGAGACCCTTCATTCTCACAAATAGGCTGCTACACTCTGTGGTCAGGATTCAAATTAGTGTCTTTTTGATTCATAAAATGATATTTTTCTTAAGTTCCTTTCATTTTTATTACTCTTTTAAATTCTTACATCTTTTCCTTTCCTAATGCCAGGTCTTGATAGTCATGTTCCTGAGTTATAGTAGTAGGGCATTGAGGAGCTAAGGTTCTCAATGGGGCTTGACCTTATGGCAGCACAGGACCATTTGGTGCTTTTTTAGTTTAGAGAAAAATTAGTCAATTTTTTCCTAAGATTCAGCTCCAGTTTCACCTGCTTCTGAGCATGAAATGGAACTAGTCTCTCTGAAGCTTTCTGGTGGAACATGACAGATGTGTCCATCAGGACTCAAGTGCAAGCAGCATTTGGTGGTTTTAAGTCTCCACTTATGTCTGTAATGGACCACTTGGACTGATACATATTCCATCATAGTAGTTCAGACTTAGATGGGAAAAAGTGGTTAACTGAACAGAGCAACTGGGTCCTTTTACTTTGGAGCAGTATATGCAATCCTGGATGCTGCTGTGACTGAAGTTGTGAAAACTAAACTAAAATTAGTACACAGTTCTCCTGTGTCCAGAATGCTAGAATCCACTACATATATAGGTGCTGTACGTTATATGTTGCACATTATAGTTGTCATTTCAATAGCTCTTTCTACAAACTCTGAGATAACCAATGCAGGGATAACTCAGTGAAATAGGGATGATTAGCAAGGCTAATGTGTTTCGGGGTCTCTTTGATGTCTTAAAACCATTATTTTTTAGAAGATACAATTTTGGATTAGGAGGATTTTTGATTTCTTGGTACATGTGTTCCACAAAACAAGGAAGATGAGTTGATAAATAAATCACTTATGTTTGCATGTAATGAAGCAATGTCTTCACCTGTAATGTCAAGAGTTACATTCCCTGTTCCTACCAGCTTTTCCAGTCTCTACCCCTAGTTTGGTACAATTTTTGCCAGGACTGGCCCTAGTATGAAACTGAGATTATTTCCATTAAAGATATCAGAAATTGAGAAGTGTTACAGGTCATACAGCAGTCTTCCTGGCTGTCTTAATGCTTTTTGTCCCTGAAGTGTGAAGAGGAGATAGAGGCAGTAAAACATCCATCTTGCTTCCACCCATCAAATTCAACCTTTATGCAATTAAGTCTCTGATTTTAGTATGGGTCACTTCTGGTTTAAAGTTATTTGAAAAAAGGAGAGGGTGATTCTTTTATCTTCAAAAACCTTCTGCATATAGATAGTGGCTATTTGGCCAAAAATATCAATAACTGTATTTCAGTTTTAAAAGAGTCATACTTATATTATGTATGTTTTATAAAGGAAGAAAATGAGTGAGATCCATACAGTAGTGACTTACTCGAGTAATTTGTATTGAAGAAAGACAGCATACACTATTCATCCATTCTCAGACCCCAGTGTGTGACTCATGCTCCAAGATTATAGGTGAGGGATGGGCATGTGGACCAGAAACTGCTCTTGGCTTTAGCAGAGGCAGAGACAAAGTTGTTGCAGGGCACTCTTAAGTTATTTGTCTTCATTTGACAATGCCTAATGATTATTAAAAGGTAGAAAAAGAGAACACAGGTGCATATGCATATATTTACAATACACAGGTGGCAGAGGCAGGAAAATCACCAGTTTGACTCCATCTTCCATTGCATTGCAAAACTATCTCTCAAGAAAAACACAAGGCCTAGCACTGAACCTCAGTGCTGGAGTACTTGCCCTCATATGCACAGGGCCCTGGATTGCATCCTAGCATTGATAAATAAACCAATAAATAGATGGATAGATAAATAAATAAATAAATAAATAAATAAAAAGACAGCCTATATCCACCACCAAAAGAAAAACATTTAGATGGCTCCGTGATCTGTGTAGTACTGGTCAGCTATAGTAGCATCTTCCATTGAAAAGAAACATGTATATTCACCTTATCTAAGGAGTGTTCTGCTTTTCTTAACCCTACCACTTAACCCCTGTATGTAACATTTTTCTCTGCTTTTTTTCCTGATCTCTTAGATTCAGGACAGTCCTTAATTATGCTGGAGGATCATGTGCGTATTTGAAGGGCAGTGTTCCTGAGTTATAGCATAAAGCAGGAAAGAATTTTCTTATGGGTTTCCTGAGCCTCACCCAGTATTTGAGGTGCTATATTTCTCTACCCCCCACCAGTGAGAATGTCTCATATTTACTCTTTCAGAATCTTACAAATAGTTGTCAGCTAAGTTTCCCTTCCTTTTTGTGTCTGAGTTCCCCAAGCAGGGCCTCCAAATATTCCAATCTATTTAGGAAGCAAGTGAGGATGGCAAAGGTACCCCAATGCATTTCTATTCACAAGTTAATTGGAATCCTGCTGTGCCATCACTCCATGCATTTGATTCTTTTTGAAGTGGTGTTTTTTTGTTCCCTTTAGCTTCTTCCTATCCATTTCAAATGGAAGATAAAACAAACTCCTTGAAGATTTTCTTATTCTTTATTATTTCAAAATCTTTCTGAAGTTTGTACAGCTTCTTGTATCCTACAAGCGCTCTGTGGTTGTTTAAGTACCATAAGTAAATTGTGAACTTCATTACTAGGTCTTATCCCTGACAAGAAGTGTTCTCTACAGAGAGATTTCTGTTTTTCTTAAGTGTATCTGGAGCAGTTATCTACAAACACTAAGATCCTCAAGGCCAACTCATTGATCAGAGTGTTAAAAGCACATGAGAAAAAGCAAAAAGATCTCACTGTACTAGGCAGGGGATTAGAAGCAACTGAATCAGAAATCTGCACCAGGCAACCTGGTCCCATGTAGGTATTAGCAAATATGTGTGAGCCAAGGTTTCGACCTTGGTCTTTGGGTCCTCTGCACTTTTAATTTTTTTCTAGGACAGTTTATTCTTATCTCTTCTACTTTAATTAGTCATATCTACACCTTCTGTTGGGGAAAAAGCTAGTACCCAATCTGGAGCTGATTCAGCTTAAGCTTGCCCCAGATGTTGAAAGGTCACTATGAGCTTGGCAGTGGTTCAAGCTCAAGTCTATCACTGATGCTCAGTGAGAAAGGTAATAATTATAACAGAGAAATAACAATATGATAAAATGACACAGGCACCCCAATTCACAGTGCCTGTTCATAGCATGGACATTATCTCTATACCCAATTCACCTATACCCAACCAAGACCTTGGTTCAAGTTTTTGAAGTTGAACAATTGGAGTTGATAATTAGAATAGGGCAAAAGAGTTTTGCGTTGCCTTGCTTTATAAAGTATCTTTGGTAGAAGTAAAAAAATGAAGGATGCTCTTTTTTCTTTTCAATTGCTATCGGGCCACTGCCAGTGTCATACTTCTAAAGTGGAACATCTCTGAATACTATACTTTTATTTCTTCCACTTGGGAGGTTATTAGTAATTAGCAGAACTTCTTGAAAACATTTTCAACATAACTCTGAGCCTAGAAAATACTTGAGTTTTACATATTTGAACTAGCAAAATCAAAGCTGGTTTTGTTTACAAGGGAGATGTAGGGTTTTAGTGATGATGAGTTGGGGATTTTTCATTTATATTTTTACTCCGTTTATAATTCTCCTTGGATTTTCACAAAGGGTAGGTAGTACGGGAGATCAGCTTTTGTCTCTACGGGTCTCAGGTCCAAGTTGGTAAAGTTGTGAATACTACACCGGATTGTCCCTTACACAGTCTTGCCACACTGAGATAATCCCCTACTATCACGCTCCTACTCTCCACCCAATTTATATACCAAGGTCTTTGGTGTTCTGTGTTGAATGTAGGTACATTTTAATTACCCTTTTCCCTAAAATGAATTATTTATAGAGATTTGGTTAAATTTTGAACCATGTGTATGTGTGTATAATGGCAAGTTGTGTTTGGATCATGATAATCTGCAAATATTTCATATTATTCAATGAACAGAAATATATCCAAATGCCTTGTTTATTCCTGCATTTTCAGAGAACTGGGATGACTCATTTTACTGTTATGTCTGCTCAGTGAGTACAGAAAGGAAATGTGGTTTTTATCATTGGATATAACACCGGGGTGGTGGGAGTCACTGAATTGTCATCCAGGAGATTTAGTCTAAACTGTCGTACTTTGGAATTGTTTTTGACATTTAGAATATTTTATGGCTAAGGATCTACCAGAATTCTTTTGTTCAAAACTGGATATTCTTAAGGAGAGTTCCACCATGTTAAGGGAACTATGTATATATCTTCTGAGGTCTGAAACATTTTCTTGAAGTTTATGTGTGCATGTTTCTATTTTGATCATTTGTTTTTAAAAATAAAGAATATAAAATTCCAAGCTAGACTATCTGTATGATTGTCTCTTAGAGCATTGCTTTGCCATAATGGGATCTGTATTTTTGTTTAAAACGTTGTTTGGTTCAAGGGACCACTAAGTGTAAACCAGGAACACTATTTGGTTTCAGATATTCAGTGTTACTTTAATTATATTTAAGAACTTGGAAAACTAAAATTTCTCCTTGCCCAAATATTGTCTAATCCTAATGGAAATACATAATGACAAAGAAATGAGAAAAGGAATTAATTCATACATTGCTGTTGGGATTGTAAAATGGTATGACCTGTTTTGATGATAGTCTGGCAGTTCCTACAAACGTTAAAGCTTCAGTTTTCTTATGATTCAATAATTCTACTTACCAATATAAACTCAAAATAATTAAAAGCATGTACACATAATACTTGTACACAAATACTCAAAAAAACCTTTACAATATCCCCAAACTGATAGCTATCTATGTCCATCCACTGATGAATGGATTTAAAGCTTGTAATGTATGCATAGAATGTTACTCAGCCATCAAAATAATTGAAATTCTGATACATGATAGGTCAGGGTTCAACCTCAAATTATACTAAGTAAAAAGATTCAGATACCAGGAATCACATATTGTATGATTGCATTTTTATTAAATGTCTGAAGAACATAAGCTAACAGAAACAGAAGGTGAATTAGTTGCTGCCTGGCACTGGGTACAAGAAAGAAGACTAAATATTAGTAGTCATAAGTAATATTGTTTAGAGGATGAAAAAGTTATGGTGGTAGCTGCACTTCTCAATACAGTTATTAAAAATTATTGACATGTACCTTTGAAACGGATAATTTTTATTTTATAAAAATACCCCAATAATGAAGCTGGAGAGACGGCTCAGCGGATAAGAACACTGGCTACTTTTGCAGAGAACTTGGGTTCAATTTCCAGCACCCACAAGGCAGCTAACAACTGTCAGTACCTCCAGCTCCAGGGGATCTGATGCCCACTTCTGACCTCCGCAGACATTGCATGACACGGGTGTACCTACATTCATGCAGACAATACACATAAAATAAAATTAAAATTAAAAACCCCAATAAAGCTGCTGTTAAGAAATATTCTTTTATCATTGATCCCTGAGTTGACTTTTTCATTTGCCAATTTAAATACATTCCATGTATCTTCATTGCTAGGGCTGAGTCCATAATATATCCTACCCCCTCCCCATCCCCTTCCCCTTCTTCCCCTCCCCCTCCCTCTCTCCCTTCCATCTCTTTTTCCTTTGCCCTTCCCTTTCTCCCTTCTTTGCTCCTTTCCTCCCTCTTACACTTTCAAACATCTCAGTTAGTTGCTTAATTCAGGGAAAAAGAGAAGCAGAAGCTGTCCAGCTCATTTATCTTCTGTTTGTACTATCTACATAGGCTGGATAAAGGAGGAAGCAGAAGTATCTAGGTAGAATTTAAAGGAAAAACGATTTAGTACATATCACTCAGATCAAAAGAGGAAGGACAGGAGAAACCACTGCAGTCCTAGGAGTCCGTATGGGGGACATGTGGGAGTGCAGATACAGGAGGGTGTCTAAATATGATTAAGATTTATTGTATGAAATGCATAAAAACTCAGAAAACATTCATTATAAAAGAAAAAAGATACTTTGAAGAGGAATTACTATCACAGGTAAATAATGGCATATTATTAGTGCTACTGCTGAATGGACTATTAATTAGAAATTACCAGTAGTTAAGAGGCTGGAGATTGTGGCAAATATGTCCTGCTTCTGTGTTGGAAAAATGACTTTTTAGAAACCCAACATGGCCTTGCATTCTCACTTGATAAAATCAAGAATGCTGTTACAGTGAGGGAGATTAAATCCACGAATACATGCACAGTGATGGAGGCAAAGAAAGGGTTAACATGAGCAGTACTCTTATCTGTTGTTGAGGGCACTGTGTGCCTGTGCCAGCCATAGGGCTATGAACTCCCACTCTACCTTAGAAGGACATGAGGAAACCAGATCTTTCAACAGATGGATCAGAGCAGTAAAGTTGTCCAAGTGTCAAAAAGGGAATTTTTAGACATTTATTAATCCTTTTTATTAGGGACTAGGAACAATTGCGTTTTTCTCTGCTAGTATAACAATACTTATATTCACAGTGTGACTAGTAAGTTTCTGTGTACCTAGCAGCTAGCCCTGTAAGGGTTCTGAAACCATGTGTACATGACCGATGGGGGTCCAAACGCTATTCACCTGAACAAAATGGATTCCTACTTAGGGAAGCTGCCTAATTGCACAAAGCTTTTTTTTCCCTTTCCTTATGGTTTCTGGTATTACCACATTCCTTTCCTTAATAGCTCCTTTGAAAAGAATAGTTCATTGACAATGAAAGGGAATGAAGAATTAAGAGTTGGATACCACTTATGTGCACGAATAATCTATATTTTATTGTACTGTATCCTCATGGTGTCATCAGAAAGCAGATACTCTTTAGAATTTTCATTTTATAAAGGAAGAAACTGGTTTAAACAGATGTAATGATTTTCCTATGATTATGCAACATTCAGTGATGTACTAGAATTCCATGTCAAGTCTATGGGACTCTGAGATGTAAGCATGCTCCACCACAGTGCAGCTGCCTCTTTATGACAGGCATCTGAAAAGTTGTTTATCCTATTAAGTGTGACATAGTTTTCATAGTCTTCATAGGCAGTTCTAAGTATTGCAAACTACTGCCAAAAATATTAGTTTATGACATACTAATCATTCTCTTATATTCCCGTATGCAACTACATTGATAATGCTGTCTCCTGTAACACAGTGTCACTCAAAAAAGCATGCTGGATACCTGTATGGCAAGGAACACAGTGCCAGACAGGAGAGACCTTCCTTTGAGTGGTTGGTCAGTGGGATGGCTAATCCTGGGTGTCAACTTGATTGGATCTGGGATTAACTGAAATGAGAGAGATCTTCTTGATTGGACCATCTGAAGCTGGAAGACACACCCTACATTGGTTAACCCTTTAAGGCCTATAAAATTCTTACTTCCTAACAGGTTTGATCTCATTTCTATTAATGTTATTAATATTTGTTATATAAATGAAGACAGTCTTGTTAGAAGAAAGTATAAAGAATACTGTATTGTTGTGTAATTTCTTCTATAACATGTTTTATTTTTTAAACTAAACCTAGTATGATGCCAGTATAATACAACAGATGAAGTCATTATCCACAGATAAGAACTACTAGAGTTTGTGCTAGCCACTCCATGAGGTTATAACTATAAGGTCTAACTTATCCAAAGTAGAACCAAACATTAGAAAACAATAGATTTGTTTACATGTTCCAAATATAAACAAAATAGTTCATAGAGCACAGATAACTGTAAATATGGGGGGAAACATAGTCAATCTCATTTTTATTTTAACATTTGTTGCCTTAATCTGTTATATTCGCTCCATTAGGCCAAGCAATACTCTTGGTTATTTTAAGTATAGTCATCCTATTATATGTCACACACAAATGCTATGTCAGATACAGAGGACAAAAGAAAAGTAAGATCCGGATCATTCTAGCTAATAGTTTTGATATGATCCAGGCATTTCTTTCTTATTGGCTTTATCAGCTACCTATTCCTCTGTCTTGAAGATGACCTGAGAATAAATAAGATGTGGCCCTTGCATGCACAAAATGTGATGCTTAGCCAACAGGGGAAACTGTGAAGGAAAATTTCCCAAAGAGAACTCCTACACCTTGGACTGAACTTCCTGCAATGCTGACCAACTGATTATCACTCCAGAGACTGTGGAGAGTTTGAAATGTTGCAGGACCGGAGTCTAATTACCATTTATCTTGGGCCATCTTTAGCTCCCTAAACAGCTACTCCTTACTCACCTCTGTTTCTGATCTAACATCCTATGACTAACAGATAAAAACCTATTAGAACATATTAACATAGCAGACCACCAGGTCTCATCAATCCAAGAGCTAAGACTTCCCCCTGGCCACTTTGGGCTTCTGATGCCCTTAAGTCAGCAGAGTAAGAAAGTAATAACAGTATTAGGAGGGGTGATTGACCCAGACTACCAGGGGGAAATCGGACTCACTCTCCACAATGGAGGTAATGAAGATTATAACTGGAAGGCAGGAGATTCCTTAGGGTGACTTTTGGTGTTGCCATGTCCTGTGGTTAAGGTCAATGGCTTTGCAACAACCCAGTCCAGACAGGACAACAAATGGTCCAGACCCTTCAGGGATGAAAGTATGGGTCACTCCTCCAGGGAAAGTGCCAATACCTGCAGAAGTGCTTGCTGATGGTAGAGGAAATACAGAATGGGCAGTAGAGGAAGGTAGCTACAAACACCAACTTAGGCCACATGACCAGTTGCAGAGATGTAGATTGTAATTGGCATGAGTATTTTTGTCCTATTTGGTTAAGAATAGGCTTGTGCATGTATACACATATGTTAAGCAGATAGTTGTGTTGTTCTTTTTTGAATGTGCAATTGAGATAAGTGTTGAGTAGTTATGTGTTGTGAACCTGTATGATCATATTAGGTTATAAAATGCTGAAGGACTAAGAATTCCTCAAAGACCTTATCACCTACTCTAAGATATAAAATGCATTGGTCATTGTATGATGAGATAGTCATATCATGTTAAGTGAAACTATGACCTCACCATTGTTTTCATTTGAAAATTTGGGTGTCAAGTTGATAAGGAGTGGACTTGTGATGTCTAATACTGGGTGTCAACTTGACTGGAACTGGGATTAACTGAAATGAGAGAGATCTCCTTGATTGGATCATCTGAAGCTGGAAGACACACCCTTTGCCGCTTGGCTTCTCTCTCGCTGATGACTTCTTGCTGCTTGCTGTAGACTGAAGACTAGCTGATCTTTTGGAATTCATCAGACCTTTAGCACCAGATTGGGACTACTGAGACATCCAGCCTCATGGACTGAGAGACTATGGATTCTCAGCCTCTCCAGTGTGGTCCAGTGTGGTACAGTAATAGTTGGACTACTCGGAC